ATATATATATATATATATGTATGTATAAACATACCTAAACAATTTTCGCAATATTTATTTTAGAAAAAATCAAATTTGGCAAAGTGCAAAAAAATTGCTCATATATGTATAATTATGTATAATTTTACACAATTACATATGAGCAATTCTTTTACATTTCTCCAAACTTGATTTTTTCTAAAATAAACAATTAAAATTGTCTCATTAACTATTTTTTATATTTTCTCAATATTATAATTATTATTTTTACTACACTAAAAATAATTTTACAAAAGAAAGAAAGATGTATGATGGACATATTTCATAATTATACATATTTATGGATATTTATGCGTGTTAGGTATGTTTATACATATTTGTACATGTATATTCATGTAAACCATTTTTTACAGAAATGCAATAATTTTTAATGAATTTTTTAAATGCAAAATTTTTGTTTTAAATTATTTTTGATGTTTTGTCATTATTATATTATTATTTTTAGTATACAAAGAGGTAATCTTATAAATAAAAGAAGGATGTATTATAGACATGTATAGGCATATGGTATCTCATACATAATTATGTTTATGAATATTTATATTTATTTCCATTGAAACATTGTCCCGGTAAAAAATTTTTCGTGCATGAATTTATGAAAATACGTATATTTATACATATTTATATAAATTCATGCATGAAAAATTTCTTACCGAGACGATGTTTCCATAATTTGTTTCTCGAGGTTTTTGCACGGTTTATTTTTGTTCTTCACATTTGGAGAAAAAAAGAGAAATTATATACGCACGAGTAAAGTTTAACTAAACCAAAAAGTTTAACTAAACAACTACTGGGATTCTGTAATTCTTAACGACATTATCAATATCACTATATTTATTATTGCGCAACTGTCAAACCTATCACCTTTATAATAAAAAAGCTGCACAACGATGTCGACACTAGCTGTCGTTAAAAGTTACAAAATCTCAGCGCAGAGAATATGTACATATTATTAATCAATTATTCGAATGGATTTCGATTGGAATTATTCCATTTTCCCTAAGAAACACAATAGAAATTTAGGGAATAATTAAATAATTCCGATTAAAATATATTGAAAAAGACTCCAAAGATTAAATCAATAAAGGAGTATAAAGCTAATGAGAGTCGACACAGTTATTATACATATATTTTATGTATTGTAACCGTACACGTGAGCAACGGCACAACTTCGTCGTTGTTCGTTCTCCTCTTACACAAAAGTGTCTCTTTCCTCTCGGTAACCAAATTTTGCGATAGCTAGGCGGATGGTCGGCCAAGATCGTAATTTTTATTACGGAGTTGGGTGCCAGGCACGAGAGAGCGTGCCACTCTTTCCGAAATCTCCTTACTTTTGCCCGTAACCGATTCGCGACGGCAGGGGAGTTACTAGTAAAGTTACCAAAAAAGTAACTTGTAACTGTAACTTCGTTACAAGTAACGAGTTACTTCCATTCCCTGAAAATAACATACAAAAATAATATACATATTTAGATTTGTATTTTCATGAGAATCAAGTATAATTAAAGACAATAAATATTATGTCAAACGATAACTGCTAATATTACTGTAATAAAGTTCAAATATTATTACTACGTTAAAAAAATTTAAGGGTTAAAAATTTAGTGTTAAGAAGTATTAAAAATTTTTTTTTTACCTCATAGAAAAATATTTGTATGTGCACTTGTTAAATATGAAATATACCAATACTATAATAACAATTTGAATATATATAAAATTTCTTTAATTTGCGAAAAATTGTTTATAATTATTATAAAATATTTATTAAATTATTTGCATGAATCGAATTATAAAGTATGCTGCTGCTGGAGATTTTGCTCATTTTCGATTTTTTATTTCTACAATTTTCTACTTGTTATCGATGTAAAAATCCCTTTTCAGTTTCCGCGCCTCTCATTACGCTATTGCATTTCGTTCTCTCATTAATGTGTTGTTATATTTAATACACTTCAAATGTGTACTTTGTGTAGTATGTATTATAATTGTGAGAAATTATTCCATACAACATTGTCTTAAAGGATATCGAAAAGGAAGGATCCCGTTTGCCTACAATCCCGATTGCACACACCACTCATATCAGCTGATGCCTGGTAATTTTTCACTGCAATGAGAATATTTTTAAATTGGCCAATTAGCGACACATGTGTGCAATATGCAATGTGTGCAATCGGAGCCTTCCCTATACTTGACGCCTGTTTTCTACATTTACAATCTACAGGAATCTCTGTGCGTAGTACGTGGCGTACTACCAAGAGAGAGACATGTTACTCGTAAAAAGAAAACGCCACGAAGTCCTATAAAATGTCCTATGCAAATCAGACTATTCATATTTTGGGATTTTTTGCAAATTTGCGGTTTTTTGCAAATTTTCCCCCATGTCTGCTACTCTTGAAAGAAATTGTTACTTCAAAGATGTTGTTATCATGATTTAGTGAAATATTATTTAATCAGTGTTATATATATAGGTTGCAGAGTTTCTCTTTAGGTACTGTAATAAAAGAATTTATTAGAAAAAGAAAATTGACTATTTATATTCTACCAGCTTTTTTAACTGTTTATATATGG